GCCAAAGCCCAAACATTTCGGCCTTTGACTAAATAATGTTAGTCAAACCTAGGAGTAACTAATTTGGTCAGGCAAAGGTCGAAACTCAATTTAATGAAATCGGGGTTTGACTAGTCAAACCTCAATTATGACTTTAAACTAAACTATACTTAATTCTGATCTCGAACTTGTTGCATAGGGGTTACGACGGTCGGTTTACACGCGCACGCGCAGCTATCTCTGGTGAAGGTACGAGTAACTAAACTTATACAGTACTGAGGTTGGTTGTCAGTGTTTCTAGATCGATCTTGATTAATTACTAATTTTTAGGGTTCTGTTACCTTAAAGGATAGAGTTTAGACCCTATTATTATGACTTCGCTAAATGTTGTCTGTCACCAGGCTCGTATCTCATGAATCATTAACTTAAAAAATAAATAATTCAATAAAATACTTAAATATTTAAGGGGGGCTCCCATACAGCAAACGTGACTTTTTGCAGTTTTTTACTTGATATTAATTAAAACGTAAACAGTTGAACCCTTGAAATATTCAAATAATTTTAGTTGCATTTTAAAAATAAATCATAAAATTAAAATGAAATAAATATTTAAGGGGGCTCCCATACAACAAAAGAGTCGCACGGAACCCTTCGTGAGCGAATCCGACTCACACATGGCTGGTTTTCTATTTGCCGTCTACTTTTGACCGAGTCTGTCAGTCGTTTCTAGGATTGACTAGGCAAAGCCCGAAACAGATATTTTAGTTTCTACGTTTGACTGAACCGTTTAGGCACTTCTAGGTTTGACTTAGTCAAAGGCCGAAATAAGAATTTACTTCGGGGTTTGCCTGAAGGCCTTGGTCAAACCTAGGATAGACCAGTCATTCCGCGAAGAGACTGCATATCGACCTTTGACTATGACAGGTGTCTATAATCTTCGTGCAAATAAATATTTGAATTTGTTTGTCGGTTTGTGTATTCTTGACTCCAGTTCACGTTTCAGTAAGAGAGTTGATGTCTCTTAACTCGGACGTTTGATTCTCAGATGGGTCATAAAATCACAGTATTTGTTACAAGTAAGATTAAGTAATAATAACATACTACTTAGTAAGGAGTTATGGAAAATAAGTTAGTTTTTGTCTGGTTTCTCTAAGTTTTCATTTTTCAATTTTCATTTTCATAAGAAGAAGCGATAATTTTCTCATGAAAACGAGTAAACCCACGGGCAAAGGAAAGTCCTTTTATACCAGTTTGTTCATATTTGGATTTAAACTAATATTGCTATTCAAAACCAGTCCACTTAGCACATGTTTACTACTTGTGAGTTGGCCGCCCTTGACCTTAATTGGCGTGGTCGAGAAAATAATTGGCATTTTTTTTATTAACTTAACAAATAAACAACTACTAAAAGATATTTTTAATATAATTAATTCAGTTTTTAGTAAAGTCATCGACTTTTTGCATGGTTTTCCACTCATTTTGGCTTGCATAATGTAGCGGAACATTTAGGTACTCGTATAGTTCTCATAAAGTCAACAAGACAAGCTTGTTCTATCATAATTTACCCCTATTCCACCCTCTTTTACCAAAAAGTAGCCTATAGAGTGGTTCTTAACCTTTATGTCATGAGGGACCATTTTACCAAATGTCTGTCTTGTCAGGGACCACCCCATAATCATAATCGGTCAAAAGTAAACCAGTTTGACTGCAAAAATCTGTTAAAAGTGGTTTTGAACAAGATGTGCAAGTGCACTTCGTGGACCACTTGGAATGCTTCCAGAGACCACCAGTGGTCCGCGGACCACCGGTTAAGAACCACTGCTATAGATAGATACGTACTCCTTTTCTGAGGTTTATCACCATACAAAAGTTGATCAAAATTGGCTAAATGGTTTACGCCCGTATTCACAAACGATATTTGCTTAAGTGAAACAGCAAATCAAATGCACAGCGTTGAATAGAGCTCTGTGATTGGTTCGTGTGTCACCCTGTGCATCCACGCGCACTGTGAGACCTCATAGAAATGTTTGTGAATACGGGCGTTAGACGTGCAAAGAGACAGACAGGTTACAAAATATTCCTCAACACCATTCTCTCCTTTTTTGAAACCAGCTCACTCCTAAAGCGGCTGTCAAGATGACCAGCTGTCTGACCTTGAGGTCTAAAGACGATGGTTTCGAAATTAACCGCATTTAATCGAATCGATAAAACAATTTAGTCTCCGACTTCGATAATTAAAGACGTAAATGGCATACAATTATAATGCGCCAGGAAACCATGAAAGGAGTTTAAGCTATACCATCTTCGTCACTTTTTAAGGAAATGGAAATTATATTTTTTCACTCTTCTATGTAACTGAGGTGAGAGCCATGTCAGTATGTAAAACTAGAATGACTTTCAGCTGGATATAGGATTCCTTAAGCAGATGCGATCTTTTTTTTTTGTTGACACTGGGATCAAATTTCTATTTATGTGATGTGTTAGAGCTCGCATATATGTAGTACAAAAGAAATTCAAACATAACTCCAAGACTCCAACTACAACGCAAACAAAGCCACGATTTGTTAAAATTTAAATTTTTAGGCCAAACATAGTCCTGATGCAAGCCCTGCACTTAAGTGCATTCAAATTTGAGCTTGTTTACGGCGTAAAGTTGACCTTGTGTGAAAGATGATTGTGCCATGCTCGAGTTACACGGCTAAGTTCAAACCTGATCCGTCGTGTCACGGCCGCCGTGTGCGACTGGTTGCGTTTGTAGCGAACAAGACAGAGCAAGTTGAGCCATTTGAAGATGGTTGGATAGAGACATGATGACTGCTAATGTAAACAGTGCGAAATGATTGGCAAGATAGATAAAATGGCAACACCGCGCAATTTTTGGATGATAGATGATGCTATTTTTAAAATTCTTGCAAAATCCACTTACCTTGCAAAATCCACTTACCTTGCAAAATCCACTTATCCATGTAGACAAAACAGTATTTAAAATTGGTAGCCCGTTTCCCATCGCCAAAGAGGAATGAACAAGAAATGCTTAGCGGATCGGTTTCCATGTACCGTTCATCGCTACATATTATGCAGCAGCATTCGAAACTACGTAGGGGACCCGCATAATAGAGGCTTGGATTTTGATTTTTTAACCTATTTCATCAAGCAATCCCAATTTCGAGATCACAATTCCCTGCCTGTCGCCTTCTTCGATTTTTTAACGTAATCATTCGCACTTAGAAATGCGCTTGAAAGTGGAAATACGGGACTATTCCCACCTCTCGTGCCCACCACTGCAACTCCTGTGTAGCCAGGATCTAAAGCTTGACCGCCACAAAAACCCAACCAATGAAGGTCAAGTTTGTAAAATAAAATTCATAAAATTCATTTATTTTTGCAAATAGGCTTTAAAAAAGCGCTTTTACACGTCCCAATATTAACCCTACCCTCAGANGAAATAGACGTCGTAGGATTGTAATATTTTTTTGCCTTATTAATTATCATAGCAGTAACCATCAAAAAAAATTTCGTGCCTCTAGCATCAATGTCCATGTTTTATTAAATCGGGACCACTGTGCGCCCCATTGTCAATGTCATGGATAGGACAGTTCAGTATTTTGGAACTATAACAGACGCGATTTTTTTTTTAATTGACGCTTGGTAGATATCGAACTTCTATGTGTTAGAGCTCGCATATATTACAAAAGAAACTCAAACATGACTCCAAGACTCCAACTAGATCGCAAACAAATCCAATAATAGGTATTGTTAAAATTTTAATTTTTGGACCAAACATAGTCCTGATGCAAGTCTTAAGTGCATTCAAATTTGAGCTTGTTTACGGCGTAAAGTTAACCTTGTGTGAAAGATGATTGTGCCATGCTCGAGTTACACGGCTAAGTTCAAACCTGATCCGTCGTGTCACGGCCGCCGTGTGCGACTGGTTGCGTTTGTAGCGAACAAGACAAGACAAGTTGAGCCATTTGAAGATGGTTGGATAGAGACATGATGACTGCTAATGTAAACAGTGCGAAATGATTGGCAAGATAGATAAAATGGCAACACCGCGCAATTTTTGGATGATAGATGATGCTATTTTTAAAATTCTTGCAAAATCCACTTACCTTGCAAAATCCACTTACCTTGCAAAATCCACTTATCCATGTAGACAAAACAGTATTTAAAATTGGTAGCCCGTTTCCCATCGCCAAAGAGGAATGAACAAGAAATGCTTAGCGGATCGGTTTCCATGTACTGTTCATCGCTACATATGCAGCAGCATTCGAAACTACGTAGGGGACCCGCATAATAGAGGCTTGGATTTTGATTTTTTAACCTATTTCATCAAGCAATCCCAATTTCGAGATCACAATTCCCTGCCTGTCGCCTTCTTCGATTTTTTAACGTAATCATTCGCACTTAGAAGTGCGCTTGAAAGTGGAAATACGGGACTATTCCCACCTCTCGTGCCCACCACTGCAACTCCTGTGTAGCCAGGATCTAAAGCTTGACCGCCACAAAAACCCAACCAATGAAGGTCAAGTTTGTAAAATAAAATTCATAAAATTCATTTATTTTTGCAAATAGGCTTTAAAAAAGCGCTTTTACACGTCCCAATATTAACCCTACCACTGCTTCGGGACAATAAATGGGCCAGTGCTGAGAAGAAGCAGCGCAAGAAGTCCCGGGGGAAAGTTAAACTGTCATTGGACCCGCAACGAAATTAATCAGAAGAATATAGGAGGAGTTCGAAATTAAGGTTCGACTTCCCTCCATTGCAAAGCGGATGACAGGTGACAAACAAAGGTTTAAAACCTTTGAGAAAAGTTTATGCACCACGGACAATAAAATTAAATATCAATTAAGGGGGCCTATCTTATGAGCATTTAGCAACTACCTGCTAATAATAAATTTTTCACAAAATCGCTTAAAAAAAATATTGAAAGTGGAAATAACACTACCTCCTCCACTAACATAAGAGTGAGTTTAGTTTGCTTCTAGCCTTGTATTAATTCACAACTTTTTGCCTGCAGGACGGACGAGCGCGGCATCGGCATGAAGGTGTACAACTTCGTGTCGGTGGCCCTCGAGATTGCGGTTCTGTACGTAAAGATGACGGCCATGTGGATCTTCTGCGTCTACCAGTTCTTCTTCCCCAAGGAGCCTAAGAGCATCAAAGGCGAGATCGTACTGGTAAGTCTTATTGTTTTAATTCTAGAAATCGTATGTTTTCCTTCTATAAATAATGGACGGATTTGATATTCCTTCATGGAAAAATTTGCTAGATGTTTGATGAAATTTTACAACGTTAACGTTATAGCATTAATCGCAAAGAAAAACAAACGAACAGGCCTCGTGCGCTTAACAGGACTTTTGCCACCTCTCGTTCCCACTGCTACAACTCCTGTGTCGCCAGGATCTACAGCTTGACCGCCAATAAAAACCCAATTATTAAAGGTCAAGTTTGTCCCAAGGGGGAAAATTAAACTGTCATTGCAACGAAATTAATCAGAAGAATGTTCTTCTGTAGGAAGAGTTCGAAATTAAGGTTCGATTTTACTCTATTGTAAGGTAATCGCGCTTGATGAACCTATAGTCTAGAGAAGGTCCCGGGAAGCACTGTCCTGGTCCTTGTGGAAATCCTTGGGGCAAGCCTTTGTCCAGTTGTCCAGCAGTGGATGTCCTTTGGTTGAAAGGACGAGCTTATGTAGAATTTAATGCAACTAAGAAATAAATAGCGCTTAAATAACGGCTGACAAAGGTAACCGAGTTTCTTCTGCCACTTCTCCTAGGTACTAGCAGATTGGTCGTCCCAGAGCGGTGATAGGGCAAGTTTCTTCGGTATTGGGATATGTAAGCCCTAAAAGGGAACCTACTAATAATTGTGATACTTATTCCAGATCACAGGAGCCGGCCACGGCATGGGCAAAGAGACCGCGATCCGCCTGGGCGGCCTTGGAGCTACGGTGGTCTGCGTGGACATCAACCCTCGCGGCAACCAGGACACCGTCAACATCATACAGGGGAACAAGGGAAAGGCGCACAGATACGAGTGAGAATCATTCACGTTATGTCCATTGTTTTAAAAGCCTATTATTTGCTTACAGAGTAGGTACAGCAGCAGTGAGCGTCAATAGTTCGTGTCACCCAAAATAGCCAAAAAGTTCGCAACATGTCTTTTAGGGATGTTATGGATATGTAGTTTCGGTTATGGATACGGTAACGGATATAGGAATAATATTTTACCGGTTTCGGTTACGGTTACGGATTTTTTTTTCGGATATTCGAAAGTTTCAGTTACGGTTACGGATTGATTGATTACTTTAAAATGCAATTTGATATAGAATACGGTCCAATACGGTCGGTAAATAACGGTAAATCCATGGCCGCACACTACATCGAATAAAAAGTAAATAAAAAATTAAAATTGGTAGGTACTAGATGATGGCATTATAAAGGTAAATCAGGCTGTTATGCCTTACATTATAATGTAATACAAAAAACAATTTAAACTGCCTACATCTGAAACTATCCGAAACTTTTGAATCGGTTACGGTTATGGTTTCGGATATTTTTTTATTTCGGATATCCGAAATTTTCGGCTACGGTTACGGATATCCATAACATCCTTGGTCTTTATTACAATTGGAATAAGGTTGAGTTGTTAACTTTTTGGCCACTTTGGGTATTACGAACTTTTTGACGCTGACTGTACCTACTTAGGCAGATTTTAAAACTTAATACCAACCGAACTAGGTGTTTATTATTTGATATGGAATTAGCAGAGCGTGACGTTAAATATCACGCGCGGCGTGTTGTTTTAACATGTTAAGTGACGTCACGAGATTTAGAATATCGATTCAAAATGTTTTGAGAATTAAAAGATCAGTACCTCTAGTACGAAAAACTTTCGAGTTCGTTTCGTTGCGTATTCAAAGTGTCATCGAAAAATTTTGTATGAAAAATTAAACAGCGCCCCCTAGGGCGGCTATAATATAGGGGGCGCTGTTTAATTTTTCATACAAAATTTTTCGATGACACTTTGAATACGCAACGAAACGAACTCGAAAGTTTTTCGTACTAGAGGTACAGGTGAAGATTGTTTATTGTGGTCAAAAATCATGCATGCATCCAAAATAAGAGCTCTTTGACATAAGTCCCATACCTAAAACTGTAGGGTGGTTAGTAATGGTAGAGCCACGTAGCACAAATTAAATTACTTCGTCACGTAGGTGCTGATTAGTCGAGGGATGGGTATACATTCAACTTCGCGTTGAACTGCCTGCCAACAAGGTCCGTCCTTTTCATGCTCAGACTTTGTTTTATTATCTCCAGGTGTGACGTCACAGACCGCGACGCCATCAACGCCCTGGCCGACAAGGTGCGTCGGGAGGTGGGCGAGGTCACGATGCTGGTCAACAACGCCGGCATCATGCCCTGCAAGCCGATCCTTGAGACCTCCGAGAAGGAGATCAGGGCGCTGTTTGATGTTAACATCCTGGCTCACTTATGGGTAAGATCTTAAGACGTATTTCGTGACATATTGCATAACATTAGCACCTGAGGGTAGGCAGATTTACTGACAGGATTGACGAATCATGGAGATTGTTGCTAGAATTGTTATCTTCAGCGTGTTCAAGATTTATGATTTTAGCCGAAAGATTTTTTGCAGAAATGCAACAAAAGCAAATAATTTCATTTTTTTAAGTACGATAAGTTTCTTGGTCCAAAAAGTTAAGTATGAACTCGATGATAACTCTTTTGGGCCTTATATCAATGTTTTATAACTGCCTCACCGAAGGTACCGGTACAACGGTTAAAGCCGTCTTAACAACAGTTTTATGTCCACGTAGCTAAGTATATTTTAATTGACTCTATTTTAGGAGTTTTGCGACTAAGAAAACACCTTTTTTCTTGTACCTTAAATAAGTATCCATGGTTTATATCCCTTCAGCTCCTCCAAGCCTTCCTCCCGCATATGATGGAAACCAACCACGGGCACATCATCGCCATGTCCTCCATGGCTGGTGTGGTCGGACTCCGAAACCTCGTGCCGTACTGCGCCACTAAGTTCGCGGTCAGAGGACTCATGGAGGCTCTGCACGAAGAACTGAGGGAGGATGCCAGGGATTTCAGTGGCGTGAGTTTTTCTTGACTGTAATTCCATAGATTTATTTTTCTGGCTTAGACTTTGAAGTGGAGGAAATTGATTTTTTTTTTAGTATAAGTTAGTTGTGTTCATCTGATTAATTTGACCATATACTCGTACAGTTTCTGTGTTTCTGATTTTTTGTCAACTTTGATTTTCAACTGATGAAAATACATTAAAAACGTTTTTTTGAAATCTGTAATAAAATCATACACCGCCGTTAAACAGTAAAACTAATTAACAGACACATGAGTAGTTCTTTGCGTTTGGTACATTAGCATTGTGGCGAAGTGTCCGTTTTTTCGGAATGTCTATATTGGTTCTACTGGTAGCCGTAAAGCAATATAGCAGCGAGCCCAAAGAAATGGCGAAGTGAACGCAGAGACATAAAGAGTTTCATTGTCATTAACAGTGAGATAAGTGGTTCCAGGCAGCGTTATAATAAATCATAACACACATTAATTATTGTTCTGAAACGGTGATGAAACGGTGCTTTAGAAAATGGGACGTGTAAAAGCAGTTAAGGCCTATTTTCTAAAAATATAAGACTGTTTAACCTTTCGTCTTCAGATCAAGCTGACAGTAATCTGCCCCTACATCGTGGACACGGGTCTGTGCAAGAACCCTCGCATCAAGTTCCCAGGGCTGCTGAAGATCCTCTCCCCCGCCCAGGCCGCCGAGAAGATCGTGGATGCTGTCCAGCGCGACTATGACGAGATCACCATTCCCAGCTCGCTTTACTATATCAACATGGTGAGCTAACGATCCCGACGTTAATAATACCAACGGAATTGAGAACATCCTCCTTTTTGAAGTCGTTTAAAAATGTGCAAAAATTGGCCAAGTACGTGTCATGCCACGGGCAGTGTAGGGTTCCGTAGTTCTCCGTCGTTACCGTTAATTACTTCATCTAAAGTCACTTTTCATATTTTCTTCTAAGGAATTTTTACTGGTTAATACATGAGTCAAATGACTATTACTCTTAAACTAAGTGATCTATCTTAACCGCTATAGTTTTCCTTGAAAGTTCATGAAAAGCAGTATCATTACGAATTTTTCCAGATTTTTTAAGCCAACAGTTTAGTTTTTAGAGGGGGGGGACTACCGTTATGTCGACATACCTCCACAAAATTACAGCTCTCTAGTGCCAGTTGTTTCTAAGCAAAACCTCGGACAGACAGACAGACATATCGAAACTATAAGGGTTCCTTGTCAGGACTACGGAACCCTAAAAAGTAGTTATATCGAACTCTTCATTATACAAGGTACGATTGACGCCTACCTTCCTCACCACCGCCTTTTGCAATTTTTTACTGATAGTCCCGTTAACCCCTCGTACTAAGCTAAATATGCTTGTGTTACAAGTGGGTTCACCGCATATTCAAACGTCGGCAGGCTTCGGACCAGCAGCGTTCATCGGATCGCTGCTGGTCCGAAGTCGGCCAATCCGGCATCTCTACCGTTCGGCTATTGTAGATTTAAAGTTTCAGCCACTAGTGAACATAAGTGGAAACCTGAGTGGAACCATAATGACCGGTTAGTAGCGGCCTGAATCCAGCGCCTTTCTGCTATAGCTTTATGTATTTAGAAGATTCTAACTCCATGTTTATTATGTTTCCAGTGGTGCAGAACCATGCCCAGACGAGTGTCACTGTACCTAAAGGACTTTTTGGACTCGGGCCTGGATGCGGACTAACTTTGACACGTTATGTACAGTCAGCACTATTGACTGACAGCGGCAACAACACCGGTACAGTCAGGTGGATAAAATTCTATAAACACTTTTTATAACTGGAATTAAAAGTGACTACATTTTAAACAGAATTTCATATCGAAAATTTCAATACTGAAATAACTCAACTCTTACCCGTAATTTATATGAAGAATACTTATCTTGTTTCATTGAAATTTTATCACTTGATTGTACCTCTGTATAGAGAGCCAGCCTGTAAATTAATTTTGCTGACTTTATAATTATTATAAAATAAGGACTTCAGCTGACTCAATTTTATGATACTATAATTTTATTTTTATTTTTAATTAAAATACAATATAGTATCTATCACGTTTGTTTATGTATGTATAAATTACAATTTGTGTAATTTCGGTATGTTATTATTAACAAAGAAGCTCTAAACTCTTTAAAAAAAAATTATGAAATAATAATATTCATGCTGCAATTTTTGTGTGATGTTTTAAATGTGTGTAATGTATTTTTTACACAGATCATGTAAATAACAATAGATTATCACGTTTTATGATTGGAATTGTGAATAAACGTGTGTATAATAGTTTTGTAAGCCAAAATGTGCCTGGAATACCAACAATGGATGTTCGCGAGTCAACCATATTGTTACTTTTAAGTCTCTTTTTAGATACTTTATAAGTTACCACCAAATAAGTTGTATAATAGTAGAGTCGCCGTAAAGTCCGGTTTTTAATTTGTTTAAATGTCAATTAATCGATAAATAACTCCAATTATTCTTAGGACCAGTTAAAGTTGAATCTCACAATTATTTCATAAATTCATATTTTTTATAATTTAATTTTTAGATACAATAACAACGTTTCAAAAACCTTATTAAAAACCGGACGATAGTCAGTTGTGGACCCTTTTACTTGGAAATGAACTGTGAGGAACAGTTTTGCATAGAAAATAGTATTAAACTATTTAAATATAACTTAACTTTCCTTCAGTTTAATTAATCGCAATTTTTTTTTAACGTTTTGATCAATAAAACTTTTTCAAGGCAGGGTCCATGAAAATAGGTTATATCCATTTATACAAACCCACCCTAGCCTATGTCTGGCCTTTGTTTCAATATTTGACATATTTTAATGATAACGGTTAAAACACGTCAATGTAGGTGAAACAATTTATATACAAAACATCCTATTACAAATTTCTGCCCAGTTTAATAAATATTTGATGACAAGTAAAAACATTTTCTTGCCTCAACAATTACTACTACCACAGAATAAGTAATAGTACAGGTACAGAAGGATTACTCCGCAAGACGATTTAAATAAATGCGAGTCTTGCTACGACGCGATACAGTGGAATTCAGCTCGCACAGCACTACGTACCTACAATTTTATTCACCTACAAGTTTTGTCTCTTTCTATCGCGTGCCTCTGAACTCTTCTTACGCTGTTAGGGTTGCTGTCTAGTAGTGTCTAGTAAAAAAATAATTAATCTACTACTTATTTGTAATGAGGTACGTATGTAGGTAAGTACGCATTCATTATGGAAAACCTTGGGAGAGGCCTTTGTCCAGCAGTGGACGTCATTTATTTTGGCTGAAACGAACGAACGCATTCTGAGTAATAGTCATGGTAGGTTAGGTTCCTATACTATCCTAAGAATTATTGATTACCTACATGGTCAACATACCTTTCAGCATCTTTGGGAAGGGAAAAAAAAGATAAATCCGGTAGATTTCTTTTCGAATTTAAACACCCGAACGCCGCACAATAATATTTCTTTCTCTTTATGTCCATTTTCAAATAATACTTCGATCATAGAATTAGGTACTACAACGCACGCCAGCGTCCTGACGGGAGCGCGCGTGACACTCGACTGATATAATACCCGCCGGCGGGGCGCTTCGCTGTAGGTAATTATCGGATGTACCGCACGGAGTGAGCCAGGCCTGCTACTACTATTGTAAATAAAAGTACAACGCAAAAAAATACTTCATTAATTTTTAATTATTACCTACTACATTTTTATGTGTATAAGTTTACATAAATATTTTATACATTTAGTATTGGACAGGTTGTCGAAACCTGTATTTGACTTAGATTGGCTGGCATAGCATCAGATACCTATTCATATAAGTTTATAGTATTTGTTCTAGTATCTGACAGTAACAAAAAAAAGGCGTCTATTTATAATACATTTTATCGGCAACCTGACAAACATAAACCTTCTGTTTATTTTAAGAAAAGAATACACGTAAAGCTAAAAGCTGGTAGGTATTTAAGTAAACAGATAGATTTGTATAAATTATATATTTTTAATTTATATGTGCCATCTATAATGGAAACAGAGACAGGTGACCACAGTTTACTTTTTATTATAACCTTTTAAATACGTTTAGAATTTGTAAGTGTTATTTAGAAAATGTTATTGTTAGGTTGTGATTGTGATGTTAGTTAAGGTTGTTTATTAAGAAAAAATTTACTGGGTTTTAACTTACTTAATGACATTAAAAAATTTAACTTAGTAGCACGTTATTTTATTACTACATTTACCTACTTTCATTTCAACGTAGCACTGAGAAAACGAATATAATAAAAACAGGTTTGCTAGTGTTTTCTATTTATTTATATAGACAGATCAGTTTAACATAATACACTTTACACAGTCTCCTACACATGCTTAGAAGATAATAATTTGCCTACATTTCGTCTAATTACATTTTAACAACAGCTTTCACAGTAAACGAAAGAAATAACTATTTTTGCAAAGTTATAATAAAATTATACTTAAGTATCCTTGTATAAAACGCGTATACATACTTTATGCTTAAATACAATGTTTGAAGGAGGCAGCACATAGTTAAAATGGAGCTTATGTAATAATACTTAATATGGAAGAATTCAAGAATAGTATAGTATGCTATTACTAAAATTATGTTACATTTTGTGTTATTCTGTTTTTAAACAGACAAATATTTCTTTACGATAAAAATAGATAATTTATTTTACATATTTAAATTTTAATAGCTACCCGCGTATATTTGACTAGATATTCAGCATCTTAGTGTCTAATTCAATTTTACAACTTAATTTTGTGTTCAAGATCTGTGTGTTTTATTACAATATTCCGCCCGCGGCTTCGCCCGCGTGGAATTTTGTCTGTCACAAAAAACTTTATCGCGCGCGTCCCTGTTTCAAAAACCGGGATAAAAACTATCCTATGTTCTTTCCCGGGACTCAAACTATCTCTATGCCAAATTTCATCAAAATCGGTTGCGAGGTTTAAGTGGGAAAGCGTAACAGACAGACAGACAGACAGAGTTACTTTCGCATTTATAATATTAGTTGGGTATAAGTACAGTCGCACATTAAACTGTTTGGTAAGTGTGCTTTATATTATGTGTATAAATGTAATATTAACTGTCATTAAATCTAAGTTATGTAGGTTACAATAAAACGAAGGCTATGACAATATTGGATTAATTCTTGGCAATAAAGCGAGCTTTGGCATACTTATTATTTTAAGTATTTTGCTATGTATTTTACTGTGGAATATTTCTTTAGGTTATAATTTTACAGACATCGACTATTTATGAAAATATTATGTTGATTGGCAGGTTCTGTCTATTTTACCCGATTGGGTGATATTAAAGTAGAGTAGAGTATTGTGTTTATTAGGTATTGAGTTCAAGGCATGAAAATAATAATAATATACTAGTTATTATCAGGGATCATTTTTTCATTTCATCATCTAAATAACAAGCTACAACATACCTATACATTTTGAGAATAGCTGCTACTCTCTACAAAATCTACAACATATACTTATACATTATTTGATTAGTAATTGACGTCACACATACTCATTATAGGTACATAATATTAAATAATAATATTTATATATTTTTTATGTTAGAGAATAATCCAGCGCTGCAGCGTACAGTACGTCCCTGTTTTCTAAAAAAAAAAAATGAATGTTCTAAATTATATACTTATTTTACTTAAACATAATATGTATTTTAAAAGGAAACAAAAAATACGTCAGAGTTTTAAAGTTATTAAAATATTTAACTTGTTTTTTGAGTCAATATCCGAACTAACAAACAAATGCGAATATTCCTACTTTATTCAAATTTAAGAAATGGATGAAAAAGTCAACTTAATAGGTATTTATCAAATACAAATACTTATAATAATTAATATTATTGACTATTAAGCACTTATACTATTTATTCGCGCCATATAAGTCGCCACTACAAGAAAAATATTGCATCTTCGATATAGTTCCTTTGCGTCTGGTCCGCACATCCACTCTAATTCATACTCAAGTACTTCTTAGCCTCTGACTTTTCATATTTTACATTTACCTTAATAAAATACATTTTATTGATTTAAATTATCGCAAAAGCTCAGATATTTTTGCGGAAAATACGACTTCTGTCGTAGGTCTACAATGTTATTACATAATTCTGTAGGTCTACGTACGTCATTTTTCTCGTACATTAATGCTTATTTGCATGCACTGCAATAAAAATATAATTTAACCTTTCTTAAAAGTTATTTAATTAATTATTAATAATATTATTATTATACATTCTACTCATGTTTTATCAATCAGTGTCAATAAAAATAAAATTCCTTAAAATTATTGTTTAAAATACATTACATCCGAAGATCAACTAAAAATATTTAACCTACGCTCAACTTAATGAGGAGGAGGTACCAAAATCGCCAACTGAAATCAGTTCTGAATAAAATACTTATTCAGTATGATATTATATGTTTTGTTGTTGGAACTTTAATTAATATTTTGATTTATTTAAGTGTCAAGACCCCCCCCCCCCTCCTATCAACCATTTAAATCAAAACTTAAGCTAAGTGTAACACTTTGTGTTACTTAAATTGTCACTACTTTTGGGTAACCATGACTACATTTTCCTTTTGTATTTACACCTCAAAATACATACTCTTGTATACAGCGTTATTAGTAATTCGAAGGGATTTTATTTAAGGATAAGTCTTGTAATTAATTAAAATAATTTATAAATAAGGTTTTGTGTAAAAGACCTATCCATAGATCTTATCTGTAAATGAACCATGAAGTATAGGATTTTTATAATTTTAAATCCGAAAAATAATATACCTATCTTCAAATTGCTCGACAAAGGTGGTTTTAAAAATACTCTTCCATACTTACGAAGTTAGAAATCTGAAATGAACGCATTGAATTACTAGCAACCCTATATAATATAATTACATTATCTCTACCTTCCATGATGTAGACTGTAGAGAACACCATTATAAAAATAATGTTGGTTAAATACATACATTATAACAGAAAAAGAAAATGGGCGTTACTGCTATTAAGCTTATAATGCATTATGTTTTATATAAAAATCTTGAAAACAACTGAAAATGATATTCGATATGGATAGCTCCAAGACTGTAGGTACAGATTTTGTTCGGATTTTCATACTAGGCAGCCTGAACTAATATCAGTTTGTACGAGTATATCCATGGTAAGTATGTAGTAAGATATTTGTAACAAAACCTTCTTGTTTGCTAAAATTAATATTTTTATGTCCCTTGATAATATCCTAATAATCTTTACAGTAATTTTAGATAACTACTTTCCTTATTATTCTAACTAATTCTATTAAAGGTCGCGCCGCCTTAGGTCTGCTTCGTCACTGTGCGCCCCGTCATGTTCTCTTAGAAGAAACAGTCTACTGTCACCAAGTAATGCAAAAGTAGTCGAAGTAATGTTCAAAATTATCATTGCTGGTGTTAAAATGTGAAAAAAAAACCTTTTCTTATAATTTTATTGTAATTTTAATTTTATAATTTTTGCGAATTCAGTAAAAAAAAAGTAATTTTAGCCAATTTAGATAGGTAGGCAACTTGTGTTGTAACAAGTAAGCTAGACTGAAAAGTTTGATAATAGAGTCGCAATTAAGACTGTTTAAAAGAAGCGACAGTAGCCCATTGTGTCAGTGTCAATCGAGAAACGGTGAATCCACTCGTAACTTAGGCATTTTACCTAACCACAAGGGGTTATTGGAGACTAGGTATTAGAAAATATTTGTACTCGTATTTACAAATTATATTATTGTTACTACTATCACAGAATAATAATAAGTACTACGTACAGAAGCTTTACTTTGCGAAGGTATTTAAAAAAATGTATGCTCAATGTCATTAGCAATATGGTGTAATTTAGCTTGTCTCAAGTGTCAAGCACCATTTTGTAGACAAACTGCAGAAAATGGCGGAGGAAATACATGGTTAAGCATGAATTATGAATAATTTTAACCACTTATTTACCTATCAGTGTCTTCAGGCAACTTAAAAAAAAATCTGTGTTTTTATTATTATTTAGGCAGTTAAATACTGCACAGTATTTAGTTCACTATTTCCTTTATTTTTTTCTATCATATTTATTTATTTATATTTATTTATTTATTTATATACAAGAATACGCGTGCGTGAGTCAATGATCGCTCGTATGTGAGGCCTTGTCGAATAGTAATCCTGTAGGGTGCCATCGTGCTTGATTTGTTTTCGATGTAAACTCGCGGAGATGAACAGGCCTGCTACTATTCAAAACTTGACGAAGCAAACTCTTCCTTCTAAAAGCTGATGACGGTTTATGTACAAATAGAGCGCTTCTTATTAAATACAATAATAACTACTCTCTTAAATTATTAAATGCAATCTTAATATCACTCTGATACGTACAAATCATGTCATGATTATTTTACTATAGCTAACAACTAACATTCACTTATTTTCTATGGAATTTCCAATGCTGTAAATACATACATACATATATTATTTATATAAATATTTAAGTAACTAAATAATATAATATACCTATATAAATATTTGAGTAACTAATATAATATGTCTTTTAACGCTCTATGTCGCTGCCTCAAACTTATTACTAACATTTAGAAGAGTACATATTATTATTATTATGAAATTACCTTAAAATATATCAACGTCTTTAAGATGTTGGTAGTTGCGATCCCAGTACCCGCCGTTGTACAGCCAGTCCTCCTGCTTCGTGTAGGGATTTGTGCCTTGGCTGAACCACCTGGGAATTAGATTAATGGTGGTTTCAGTGGGTCAAAAACTCTATAAACTTTTAATTTTAAGCAAAATAAAGCCATCGGTTGTTAAGTTATAGAGAGTGATCTTTCCTTTGCTATAATAAGCCGATATAGTTATTATCCCGACATTATTTTGATTCACTGGACTCGTGAAATTCCCCCAGGAAAGGATAATAAATATTAGTTGACTACAGCCCCTTATGATCTACTTTCTACTAGTAAAGTAGCTTAATCTGTAAGCCTAGATATAGCACGTCACTACCTTGTTTAATATACCACGCAATTATGTATACTCATTCTTAAAAGATACACCATACAAATGGCATGGCATGGTAAATTCAGTGAACTGCTCCTGAATCGAATGTACCTTACTACTGCTATTTTTATTTATTTATATTAACCGGAAGACAGTGGTGACTGAGTTTGTTGCGGCGCTGCTGCGTCGATCTCACTTTGTTCCAACAGCCTAACGTCGAGTCGAAGCCGGCTGTCCGTCGGGCAGAGCTGGCCTTTCATATCCCGCCAGAATGTTGTTCATGCTAAACTCACCTTTATCTCTAAGCGCTAAAGTTTCAAATGGCACTTACGTCTTGGATGGATGTATATTTATGTACCCTGGTACTTAGGTAAAAGTACCCTGGCACTCAGGCATAAATAAGTACCCTGGTACTCAGGTATAAGTACCCTGGTACTCAGGTATAAGTACCCTGTCACTCAGGTATATTTAAGTCCCTTGGCACTACAATCTCACCTGGGCTGCCACCCATCCGGGCTCTTCTTCAGAGCCTTCCTAGCGGTCCGCTGCTTCTCCTCCAGCCGGGTCTTCTCTGCACTAAAGTTTCAAATGGTAGTCTTGGATGGATGTATATTTAAGTACCCTGGTACTCAAGTATAAGTACCCTGGTACTCAGGTATAAGTCCCCTGGCACTACAGTCTCACCTTGGCTGCCACCCATCGGGGCTCTTCTTCAGAGCCTTCCTAGCGGTCCGCTGCTTCTCCTCCAGCCGGGTCTTCTCGGCTGCGGCCGCGTCGATCTCGCCCTGTTCCAACAGCCTGACGTCGGGCCGCAGCCGGCTGTCCGTTGGGCAGAGCTGGCCTTTCATATCCCGTTCTAGCTCGTTGAGGGACATGGCGAACTCCGTGAATTGGTAGTACTGGGGATTGAAAAGATATTGAGTGTTTTTATAAATTGTTTGACGTGTCTCTCTAGCTGGTTGGATTTTTATTGGTGGTTAAGCTGAAGATCCTAGCTACACAGGAGTTGCGTTAGTCTCTCTTTAAATATAACAAATTCATTTACCTAAGTACTATTTGATATACTTATTTGTATTAATTGATGCAAATTTAAAAGAATAGGAACAGGGATAACTTACTTGTGCGCTATTCGTAGGCCTGGGCCGTGCCTCCCAAAGCGTGACCGACCCGGGAATGTCGATATTGAACGAGTCGTCAGGTTTGGGCACCTCATCCGTGTTTTCTGGTTCGTCATTCTGAAAATTATATTAAGTTGATTTTAGTATCTAGAAAGATCTTTGCCTTTAAAGTCAGTTGAACGAAAATAACAGTCTCATAGTCAGAATGTTTTTTCGAGGGCGTCACAGCTCCTGCTAAACTTAATTTTGTTTTTGTGCACTTAAGTTATAAATAGGACTTACGTCTTGAATGGACATGGAGCGCAGGGCCCCGACCTTGAAGTTGTTGCGTTTAGCGAGCACTTTCTTGGGCGTGTGCGAAGGTGTCTGCCCCGTGGCTTCATCACCGCGCTCTTTGACCCACTGCTCAGTCTAAACTTACCCTTGTTTCTATGCAATAAGGTTACAAATGGCACTTACGTCTTGGATGGACATGGAGCGTAGGGCTCCCACCTTGAAGCTGTTGAGTTTAGCGAGCACCTTCTTGGGTGTGTGCGAGGGCGTCTGCCCCGTGGCCTCATCACCGCGCTCCTTAGCCCACTGCTCGTGAGCCGCCGCGCTGCAGCACTTGATGTACTCCGTCCACTTGCCGTATAGGAAACGGAGCCGCTTTTTGCTAGAAGAAGTTGAATAGTTAAATATTTCGTATGCTACTGTGGTTCCCATCCTACTGCTTTAGTAATGTTGTCCATGCAATACGAGTACCAACCTAGATACTTATAGGATAATAAGAACTGTGGTGTGTGCCTATAGAAGTTGCGTTTAGTCGATATTTTTTATTATTTTTTATCTAAATAAATAGAAGTCAAGCTGCCTTACAACAAGGTAGTACCTAACTCAATCACAAAACAAGACTAAGTGTTTCAAGAAATAACTAATAATCTATTCGCTTTTGGTTTGATAGAAAATAGATAGAAGTTCAGATACAAAGCTGCGAGAGTCCTAACTAAGTTCACACTATAATTCGGGTTTATTTTAACAAAATATCATTATTAAAACATTCATTCTGTACTCAAGTTCTCTCATGTATTTCAATTCCCCTGCCACAGGCACGTTAAGCGCAAACTTTACAGTCAGCTTTTGGCGGCTTGCCAGCTTTCCCTGGATATACCACTTTCATTCTCATCGGCCAAATAACACTACTATGACCCATATAGTTTACGTTCATTGGAATATGATGGACATGGATTTTGTGTTTTCCGTATCCCAACTAATATTATAAATGCGAAAGTAACTCTGTCTGTCTGTCTGTCTGTTACGCTTTCCCGCTTAAACCTCGCAACCGATTTTGATGAAATTTGGCATAGAGATAGTTTGAGTCCCGGGAAAGAACATAGGATAGTTTTTATCCCGGTTTTTGAAACAGGGACGCGCGCGATAAAGTTTTTCTGTGACAGACAAAATTACACGCGGGCGAAGCCGCGGGCGGAAAGCTAGTACGAAATAAACTAAATTATGTGGCTGGTCTTTTGTTCTATGGTGTAAGTTGTGTGTAATCTTATAAGCAATCTTAAAAGCCAATCAGAAAACAGAACACCTGTATTTTTGGAAAAATAACAATGTCATATGGAGCTGAGTGAGAGACTTAACCCTTAAAGTATCAGGGAAACCATACAATAAAAATAAATATCCAGATTCCAGACTGATTATTCAGGATTCAAAAAGTTAAGGCTAGCTTATATCGATTAAGTAATATACGCTATATCTATGTCCTTTATTGTTAAGTCCATATGAACCAGGGCTACAAACTTATTCCTAATACACAAACCTGTGGCTATCATCAATAATTTATCATGAAACGACTAGCTTTAAATGCAAATAATATAATAATATGAAATTGCAATCCGCCCGCCGCATTATTCTGCAGTTCGGTTCGTGCAGAGCACTCTCAACACAGAGTCAATAAAGTTGCGGGTAGATAGCGCCTGCAGTGGACAGATATAATATGCAATAAAGTCCGCTTTCAGAAATATTTTTCAGCTTTGGTGGTCAATTTCATTTTCTGAAAAGTCCTTAACGTAAATTGTTAAGAGCGAGATACACGAGTCAACATGGGAATTAAAGCCTAAACCTCTTAGTTTCGAACTGCTCTTGTTCTGTTCAAATATGGTGGAGAGTCTAAAAACTTCTTTCTGGGACAAAACTTGGCCTTCACTGACCCATCCAGATCGGGCAGTAGGTTACACGAGAGTTGCACCAGTGGAAACGATATGTGGGGTTGTCCTCACATATCGTTTCCACTGGTCGTCGAACTTACAAAAGAATGCAAAGTAGATTTAACAGACACTATATCTTATTCGAACTTACTTAGAGTCGGAAATGAAGCCATCGACGCGGTGTAGGTCCCGGTTGTTGAAGCCAGCCGGCTTGAAGTTGAGGCTGGCCTTCAGTCCCGTGCCGCCGTGGCACACCACCNGACACAGAGTCAATAAAGTTGGGGGTAAATAGCGCCTGCAGTGGACAGATATAATATGCAATAAAGTCAGCTTTCAGAAATATTTTTCAGCTTTGGTGTTCAATTTCATTTTCTGAAAAGTCCTTAACGTAAATTGTTAAGAGCGAGATACACGAGTCAACATGGGAATTAAAGCCTAAACCTCTTAGTTTCAAACTGCTCCTGTTCTATTCAAATATGGTGGAGAGTCTAAAAACTTCTTTCTGGGACAAAACTTGGCCTTCACTGACCCATCCAAATCGGGTAGTAGGGTACACAAGAGTTGCAAGAGGTCATTATTAGCGACCAGGTACCTACAGGCGAACTTGCAAAAGAATGCAAAGTAGATTTAACAGACACTATTCTTATTCGAACTTACTTAGAGTCGGAAATTTTGTTGAAGCCAGTGGTTCAGGCCGGCGCAGCCGTGGCAAACCACCTCCATAGGCCCGTACTGCTAGTTTACACCTTATTCCTACTTACTTAGAGTCGGAAATGAAGCCATCGACGCGGTGCAGGTCCCGGTTGTTAAAGCCGGCCGGCTTGAAGTTGAGGCTGGCCTTCAGTCCCGCGCCGCCGTGGCACACCACCTCCATGGGCCCGTACTGCTAGTTTACACCTTATTCCAACTTACTTAGAGTCGGAAATGAAGCCATCGACGCGGTGCAGGTCCCGGTTGTTGAAGCCGGCCGGCTTGAAGTTGAGGCTGGCCTTCAGTCCCGCGCCGCCGTGGCACACCACCTCCATGGGCCCGTACTGCTAGTTTACACCTTATTTCAACTTACTTAGAGTCGGAAATGAAGCCATCGACGCGGTGCAGGTCCCGGTTGTTGAAGCCAGCCGGCTTGAAGTTGAGGCTGGCCTTCAGTCCCGCGCCGCCATGGCACACCACCTCCATGGGCCCGTACTGTTCGATCCACAGCTTGCCCACGATCACATTGTGCACGCAGCAGTTGACGTTCGTCCAGGTGTAGGCTTCTCCCCACCTGTTTATTGGGGAATCATGGCTCAATTTACTGCAGACACAAGGAATACAATTATTCTCAAAATTAATAACACATTGCTTAATGATTTCACTCTACCTGTAGAGTGAAATATTAGATTGTCTCTACCTGTAAGTACTTTTCATATTATTTGGGACCTAAATCAATAGCTGGTCGATCGGAATTTCGTGGCAAAATGTCGTTCCGATCGACCAGCAGATCAAGCGCCGCAAGTGGAACTGGATTGGCCACACTCTCCGAAGGGACCCCGATCACATCCCTAAGCAGGCTCTGGATTGGAATCCCCAAGGAAAACGCAAACGTGGTCGACCCAGGCAAACTTGGCGGCGCACTGTAGCGGACGAGGCGAAGAAGATCAGCAAGACCTCGAGCGAGGTCAAGCGAGAAGCTCAAGACCGAACGAGATGGAGGACTGTTGTGGACGCCCTCTGCCCCATCTAGGGGACATAGGACCATAAGTCAAATCAATAGCAATTTTTTGTAGCATTCTAGAATACTATCACTTGGGTGACCACAGAAGCCCAGCGTCGTGGCATTATCTACCTAATGAGATGCTACGACATCATGAGTGACTGAGTGTATACCTTTTCAGTATCATTGTGTACATAAATTTTTAATGATCTGTGTATGTTAGTACGTGTAATGATATTGAATAAATATTTTTTCTTTCTTTCTTTCCCTCCAAACACTCACCTCGGCAGTTCAACGGTGACGTGCCCTTTAGGCTGTATCTCGACGCTCTTGCCGCAGAACTTGAGCTTAGGATGCACCGAGCCGTGGAACACGAAGTGCGGGCTGTCCGCGTGGAACGCAGACACCGGCGGGTGGTGGGACACCTGGGTTAATATAGAAATCATCATCATCACTACTCCAACACGAGATAGCAGGAAACCATACGAAGAGCTGTATTCACCTCTAAAATTGATATGGACGCCTCAACATCACTACGACCGCTCTGCCAAGAGCAAAAAGACTAAGAAGAAGATCATCACAGGTCTCCATTGCAGGAGGACTATTCTGTCTAATCTACTAGAGGTGTAGGATTTGGACTACACTCCTGACCACTTTGGTCAGACGGGTTGGGAATGTTTTACGCACGTGCACCTCCAATGACCGGGAGAATAATGCCCGTTTTACGTTCACCATCAATCCCTGATTTTTAAGTGACCCCTATCTTATGGTAATGGTAACGAATAACAGGAATATTGTTTACATAGGGGTCACTTAAAAATTTGGGATTGATTTTGTAAACGGGCATTAGAGACCTAAATCATGGACAAAATTTTGGTATTCAGGTTCAGAAGTGGCTAACAGCTATATTAGCTGGCGTTGATATTTCTAAACTACATCATAAAAAAAATGAGCCAGTCGCAGTCCACTTACTCATCAATCATGAGAATGAAACAAGCCCAAATAACCAAATAGCTTGATGTATTTTTGATTTTGTCAAAACTGCTTCCTCAAATGAACAATATAATAGCCAAAATGTTCTATACTAGCACTTTTCGCTTTAATAACACTTTTTTGGCACGACTTTAACTCTGAACATTGGTTAACATCTTGGCATTTTTCCAAATTACAAATGTTCGATTTGTACCAATAAATACCAGTCACCTGGTAAGCCGTTCTCGTTTTTCGAACTGTCAAGAAAAACTAAAAGCAAATTAATTCAAGGGGAATTCCGGACTATCTGCTACTTCACTCGCTAAAATTTAATACAAGACCATTAGGGAAATCTAGCCCCAATTGCTAACATACATAGTAGCTAAAATTGAAACATGAATAATTGAACATGCACTTTTACTCCCGTTGCACTGCGGCGGGGAAACAATGTCGATGTTGCTCGTGATTAAATCCTATTATTAAAGTATCTAGCATGTATTCTGATTTGAAGAGCGATAGCGAATATCTCTTCTCTTCAAACAAAGAAAATGAAACAGGAATGAAAAAGCGATCATCAAGTGTTCTAATCTTGAATAGGGGACCGGAGGTTTGTAGTTGTGGATTAGACAGTGTGACTGTGTGATGAACCCAAAAAACAAAGATTCGCGAAGAAAAGAACTTACGGTCTAGTAGGTATACTCGTAGATAGTTTCTCGGTGCCTTGCTAAATTCTTGGTGTGGAGAATGGAAGCTTGAACAGTTAGCCTGTCCCAAGAGCTTTAAGGACGCCATTGTTTCTTCCTAAACAAGTCTTGACCTTCATTAATTGGGTTTTTATTGACGGTCGCTGACGATCCTGGCTACACACGAGTTGCAGTGGTGGGAACGAGAGGTGGGAATAGTCCTGTCCTCAGCAAGTCTCATTAACATAACCTTCTAATTAGAAATAACATGTTTCTAACCTGCTCGCAAACCGCTCTAAACTCCTGACGCTCCAACTCGTAGGTCTCTCCCAGCAGTGGGTTGAAGGGCTTGCCCAGCCGCTCCCAGTTCGAAGCTAGCGCGCTCACGGCAAACGCTGTGAAAATAATCATACATTACTGATGATTACATTGATATTACTTATTATCTGTTACATAGATGGAAATTTTACAATATTGCAAATAAGTTTAAATATCATTTTATTCTTTACGAGCTAAAGGCTTCTGGAAATACCTTTCTCAAAGGTTTCCACAACGATCTGCAATACTCTGCCTACATACTTGTGCTTCTCGTGACTTTTATCAGATGATCGGTCCACCGAATCAGCCTGCTTGCTGCTTTATCTTAATAAACGGTGTGTAACGGCCATAATGTTGGGTTTTGTGAGTGTAAAAGGAATAGGTACTCAAGATACGATAAAAACGTTTTAAATATGTGCGAAATCAAAACAAAAGAACATTGACATTGGGCGATGAAAAATGAAAATATTTCTTAGTGGCCAGTGTCACATGGCCGTGTGCGTTTTTAAACAAACCTACTATGTTAAAAAAACGTGAATAGGCAAAACAAAAGAACATCGATATTGGGCGATGAAAAAGAATGTAGATATTTTCTTGGTTACCAGCGCGCGCGGCCAAAGAGGCCGTGTTCAATTAAACGGACCTACTGTGTTTACTTGTTATTGTGACATGCGTTGTTTCAAACTAACTGAAGGAAACAACCATAAAAGTTAACTTTATTTGTTTTGTTCGCCAAACTTGAACTGTATCCCTGCGATAACGATGTCAAACTCGGACCAAGTGCGATTATAGAGTTAGACCCATGAAAGAAACCCGCCAAGTTTTATTTTATGTTTTATTATACAGTGTGAGTCACGTTAAAGTGTACATATGAAAATAGATAAAACTAGACTTATTTTTATCGACAAAAAAGAGGTCAAAATTTTTTTGAGATTTTTTTTTAATTTTTTATCGAATTTTTTTTCTTCCAATTACTTATTGTAAAGAANTTTGGATGCACCGAGCCGTGAAACACGAAGTGCGGGCTGTCCGCGTGGAACGCAGACACCGGCGGGTGGTGGGACACCTGGGTTAATATAGAAATCATCATCATCACTACTCCAACACGAGATAGCAGGAAACCATACGAAGAGCTGTATTCACCTCTAAAATTGATATGGACGCCTCAACATCACTACGACCGCTCTGCCAAGAGCAAAAAGACTAAGAAGAAGATCATCATCATGACATTTGGTCTCCGTTCCAGTAGGACGATCCTGTCTAATTTACCAGAGGCAAATGCAGGATTTAGACTACACTCCCTGCGCTGGACAGTCGGGTTGGGAATGCTTTACGCACACCTCAAATGACCGGTAAGACACCTAAATGATGGACAAAAATTTGGTTTTCAGGTTCAGAAGTGGAAACGAGAGACTAACATAAGAGCTATATTAGCTGGCGTTGATATTTCTAAGCTACATCATAAAATGAACCAGTCGCAGTTCACTTAGGTACTCATCAATTATGAGAATGAAACAAGCCCAAATAACCAAATATCTTTATGTATTTTTGATTGTGTCAGAATCAGAAGTGCTTCTTCAAATGAACAATAGGCAAAATGTTCTATACTAGCACTTTTCGCTCTAATAACGCTTTTTTGGCACGACTTTAACCCTGAACATTGGTTAAAATCTTGGCATTTTTCCAAATTACAAATGTTCGATTTGTACCAATAAATACCAGTCACCTGGTAAGCCGTTCTCGTTTTCCAAACAGTCAAGAAAAACTAAAAGCAAATAAATTCAAGTTGAATTCCGGACTATCTGCTACTTCACTCGCTATTTCACAAAGGACCATTAGGGAAATCTAGTCCCAATTGCTAACATACATAGTGGCTGAAATTAAAACATAAATCATTGAACATGCACAATTTTACTCCCGTTGCACTGCGGCGAGGAAACAATGTCGATGTTGCTCGTGATTAAATTCCTATTCAAGCACTACCGCATTCACTGTGGATCTATTATTAAAGTATCTAGCATGTATTCTGATTTGAAAAGCGATAGTGAATATCTCTTCTCTTCAAACTAAGAAAATGAAACGAAATAAAAAAGCGATCATCAAGTGTTCCTATCTCGTAGAGAATGGATTGAACAGTTAACCTATGCCAAGAGCTTTAAGGACGCCATTGTTTCTTCCTAAACAAGTCTTGACCTTCATTGGTTGGGTTTTTATTGACGGTCGCTGACGATCCTGGCTACACACGAGTTGCAGTGGTGGGAACGAGAGGTGGGAATAGTCCCGTATTCAACAAGTCTCATTATCTTAACTCTGACTGTTGACGATGGCCACCAGAAGTAGGTACAACTTAGCTAGATTTAAATATTATTAATTAAAATGGCTGCTTATGAAACTAACTTACTAATACCTTACTAGATTTGCCTTTCATTTGTATGAATATGTAACTGATGGTGCCTGAATGTAGGCTATAGGTATTATTATTGACCTACTTAACTTACCGAAGTCCTGTGACTTACCTTGCATTTTGTTGCGTCACCCTCTGCGAACGTACTAGTGCGCACACCCGGACGCGCCTTCATTTTCAACGTACCTACCTGGACTTTCATTTTCATTCATCACCTACGTTCACCCATCGACCTACATCGCCTACACTGACCAAAATCAATATGTTTCTAACCTGCTCGCAAACCGCTCTAAACTCCTGACGCTCCAGCTCGTAGGTCTCTCCCAGCAGTGGGTTGAAGGGCTTGCCCAGCCGCTCCCAGTTCGAAGCTAGCGCGCTCACGGCAAACGCTGTGAAAATAATCATACATTACTGATGATTACATTGATATTACTTATTATCTGTTACATAGATGGAAATTTTACAATATTGCAAATAAGTTTAAATATCGTTTTATTCGTTACGAACTAAAGACGTCCGCTTCTGTAAATACCTTTCTCAAAGATTTTCACAACGATCTGCAATGCTCTGCCTACATCATGTGCTTCCCGTGACTTTTATCAGATGATCGGTCCACCGAATCGGCCTGCTTTATCTTAATAAACGGCGTGTAACGGCCATAATGTTGTGTTTTGTGAGTGTAGAAGGAATAGGTACCTACTCAAGATACGATAAAAACGTTATGTGCGAAATCAAAACAAAAGAACATCGACATTGGGCGATGAAAAAAGAAAATATTTCTTAGTGGCCAGCGTCGCGTGGCCGTGTGCGTTTTTAAACAAACCTACTGTGTTAAAAAAAACGTGAATAGGCAAAACAAAAGAACATCGATATTGGGCGATGAAAAAGAATGTAGTTTTTTTCTTGGTTACCAGCGCGCGCGGCCAAGGAGGCCGTGTTCAATTAAACGGACCTACTGTGTTTACTTGTTATTGTGACATGCGTTGTTTCAAACTAACTGAAGGAAACAACCATAAAAGTTAACTTTATTTGTTTTGTTCGCCAAACTTGAACTGTATCCCTGCGATAACGATGTCAAACTCGGACCAAGTGCGATTATAGAGTTAGACCCATGAAAGAAACCCGCCAAGTTTTATTTTATGTTTTTATAGTTTATTGTTGCGTAGACCGTATAATACTCGTAGTCCTTCTTAATAAGTTCATACTTTTGATGACCTCATTTTATGGGACGTGGACCAAATTTTCTTAAGAGTAAAAATAAGTTTAATAATCATACCTCACTTATGATTACCTACACCATAACATTTTTATGACTACTTTCAGGGGACATCCAGTATTTAATGCTAGACCTGTAATTGAAGAACCCAGGAGTTTACCTATGCAGCCTTGATGGTGGTCTGAATTTCTTTACAAAACTTTTGGTATGCTGAAGGTTGTTTCCCCTTGGAAAGTCTCAATATAAATCTTTTGTTTGTTATTTTAAAGCTTCCTACAGCTTATAAGTTCCTTTATAAGTAAAGGTCTCTCTTACATTAAACTAGCGGCCGCCCGCGACTTTGTGCGCGTTGATCCCGTTTTACCCCTTTAGGGGTGGAGTTTCGGAAAATCCTTTCTAAGCGGATGCCTGCGTCATAACATCTACCTGCATGCCAAATTTTAGCCCGATCCGTCCAGTGGTTTGAGCTGTGCGTTGATAGATCACTATGTCAGTCAGTCAGTCAGTCAGTCAGTCAGTCAGTCAGTCAGTCGGTCACCTTTAAGTTATATATATTTAGATACAATTTTGTATACCTAGTAGAGTCAAACTTCGCACGCCAACAAAATTACCTCCCAATCCGCTAAAGGTCTGACCTTTCTCGAGTTAGTTAGTGAGCAATCTAATTCCAATAGGCTCTTTGATGATTATGGTTAATTTGGACCACTATTCCCCTTACCCTGCCATTTGAAGTTAGTTTATTAGGTGTTTTGATGTTTGATGAATGTTGTTGGGGAAATGTTTTCAAGCTTTTCTAATTTCCGTTCATTAGTTGTGAAAGATTAAGTTCAGGAAATAATGAGAAAAAATGTATTTTATGTCAAAGATAAGCTATTTTGGTTTGAAAAATAATAGCTAAATAGTCATCTCATCAGATAAAATGTTTAGGAATCCCAACAACGAAACTGGTAACAAATGTAGGACGCAAAATTAGTAGAAGGAAATTCATTCTCTAATCATTCGGTCCATTTTTTGCATCTCTGGCCTAACTGCAAAAGATAAATTTACATTAAATTGAACACCACCGGTATGGTGATCTTGAAGCGTAGTCCTATGGCTGGTAATGATGATGAAGCAGTTGCTTAAATGCAATATACTCCATCCTGGCCACAGGGTCTGTCAGCTCCGAAGCCATCCTCAGCAGATGCGCGTATTCCAGATACTTCAGCATCCTCTAAAGGAAGGACAGCGGCTTGAACACCACCGGCTTGGTGATCTTGGAGCAGAGTCATATGGCTGGTAATGATGATGAAGCACCCGCTTACCAGCAATATACTCCATCCTGGCCACAGGGTCTGTCTGCTCCGAAGCCATCCTCAGCAGATGCGCGTATCCTAGATACTCCAGCATCCTCTGGAGGAAGGACAGCGGCTCGTTGAACATCCCCGGCATAGGGATCTTGGAGCGGAGTCCTACGGCTGATATTGATGATGAAGCACCCGCTTACCAGCAATATACTCCATCCTGGCCACAGGATCTGTCTGCTCCGAAGCCATCCTCAGCAGATGCGCGTACTCCAGACACTCCAGCATTCTCTGGAGGAAGGGCAGCGGCTCGTTGGACACCACTGGCATGGTGATCTTGGAGCGTAGTCATATGGCTGGTAATGATGATGAAGCAGTTGCTTACCAGCAATATACTCCATCCTGGCCACAGGGTCCGTCTGTTCCGACGCCATCCTCAGCAGATGCGCGTACTCCAGATACTCCAGCATCCTCTGGAGGAAGGACAGCGGCTCGTTGAACACCACCGGCATGGTGATCTTGGACAGCTCCTTCCCGACGCAGTTCTTCAGCACCGACCAGAGGGAGAAGTCGCCGCGACTGAATTGGGCCACTGGTAGAGATGTCCTGGGGACAAAGGGAACTAAGATTAGATGATAGTCCTACAATATTCATACATCTTAGTAGTAGGAGCACAGACTAATGTAGTAGTATGATAGTCAATACTACCATAGATTTTAATATACTACAAAAGATTGAAATTCATTTACGGCCTCTTTCTTCACGGTCCTATAGCTCAGAATTTAGAAAACTCGAAAAAATGTAGGTACATTATCTAACTGAGTAGGTATAACACTTACTGTTTCATACATTTTCCTTCTACATAGAAGACATAAATCACATGTACAAATATCTATATCCACAAAAACTTCGGTATTCCATTAACCTTTAGAAGTTGATATTCCATTAAATCAGGATTCATAATAGATGATATAATAACGTTCGACTTTTGTGTTGACCTTCAACGTTCAGCATGCACGAGTAATAACGACAATCACACCCCGTGGAGTCCTGCAAGGAGCCGTCCTTGGCCCATTTCTTTGGGTCGATATTTTCCCCTGGATTCCCCATTCACCCGTATACTTGATGCATATCTTTTTATTTCAGCACCCCCGAGAACTACCCTTTTACGCTTTCCTGATATTCTTAATATTTTTTTGATTAAGTCATCTCCTCCTTTTATCTTTCTTGATTCTGCTGCCAAAATAGTAATTTTTGAACCATACTTTTAACTTGCCAATTTTCAGCCTAAAGTTGTAGCTGATTACGTAAGTTACCTCTTCCAAAATATTTAGCTAAAGCGACCATATTTTAATTTGAACACAAATATCACCTTGTTAAGTGATTACTAAACGACCTAATCCATTAACTGATTAGTCCATTACCAGCTCGTTAAATGATTATTAACTGCTGATTGGTTTACATAAGCCTAATTAACCACTCCGGTAAATTAATTTAATCATAGTGTAATACGGCAATTAAGAACTGATTAATTACTCTAGAAGTACCTACTATCTCCAAGAATTCTCTTTTTTTCATAGTTTGTTTTACGTTTTTTTGTGTATTGTTCAGAGAGCTGAATTTTAAGTGAAATTTTTATGGTTTCAATTCAATCAGAAGTATGCAATGTGGTTTCAAATAGTTTTTAAATACAGTCATATTCATTAATGATAGAGAGACGTCGAAAAGCGCTTTAAAAAGGCTAATTTTGGTCAGCTACATTTCCCTGGTTAGCCCTGACTTTCTCCAATCAAATTGCAAAATGATTTCTCCGATGTAAATCCAATTAGTGCTGGTACTTCGTATAAGCCTGGGGCAGACGTAATGCAATAACTTCTGCAGATTGGACGGGAGTAGGCTTCGACTTAATTTCACCCCCACCCGCGCTGGGGTATGGGCGTAATGAGGGGAAGCAGGTGTTTAATCCCTGTGTGCCATCAACAAATACGTTCAGCCTTGGACGTTGATTAATTAGGTAAGGTATACAAGAGGAAATGGAGCATCGTAAGTACCAAAAAGGTACCGAACGAAGCTACTTGATGTGACATTCTTGTAAAAATGAACAAAATATGAAGAATCAAAAGATGAACTTAATATAGTCATAAATGTATATAATAGAGGTCGCAGACTTAGCTCTCATAAAATTCGACTCTCTTTCTCAAAGTTGTTCTCGGAGAGAAAGAGCAAGGCAATTTGAAGCGTCATCAAAAAAATCTTACTGATAATGATATTTGTAACAATAAGCTAAAATCATGCGAAAAACGCCCGAATACCTGTATGACACTAATTAACAAACAACCTAACAATTTTACCATTCAATTTAATCATTCTTAAATACATAGTAAGTAACGCTATTTAAAGCTTATTGTCTAAAATAATGTACCTGTTTATGTAATTTAATTTAATTTAATTTATGCGGCACGAGTACCTATTTAACATAATAGCGGTAACTTGAAAGTGTGTTTTGATGTTTCAGATCAACCCTCTTGAAAGGTGACTCATTCAGTAACGAGAGGGAAGATTACAACCGCCCCTTTCATGCCCCTCGAAGTTCAAGAGCGGAAACGGATGTCTCAAGTAGGGCTACCATGTAGTTTCAGTAAGCCGGATTTGGCAAGACAGGAAATAATCGTAAAATAGATGATGACTTTTAACTTTATCTACTCAATTAATGACTCTTGCTAAACTGATGAAGATATTTCTCTGTCTGTCTGTTAGGTACGCTTTCACGTCTAAACCATTGAACCGACTTAAGATCTTATACTCGTAGTAAGTACCTACTTTCGTTCGTTCGTTCGTTTCAGCTGAAAGACTTATTACAAAGTCAGTACTTATTACATAATTATTATTA